TTGTTGAAATGTAATGAATATCTAAGTCCCGGGACTCAGGGATTGTGACAACGCCATCCCCAAAATCCCGGGATCGGAAAGAACCGAAAAATAAACATCGCTAGTATGCATATATTTACAGTGTTGATAATTGCATTTTCCTATTTCGTATGAAAATGTAATTCAAATTATACTTTTTATCACTAAATTCTACCAAATATTGATTGCAATTATTTTTCTAATATTTAGTTATTGTGTACAACTTGTATTTAATTATATTTCCTAATAAAGTAAAAATATTTGCTAAAAATTTAGAAACAATATTACCTTTATTTTATTTACATAAAACATTACACACTTTTACATCAGATATTATGATTTTAAATGCATGTATTTAAGTACATACATAAATGTATAGAAACATACAAATTTACAGTGATTGGATATTTTTAAATTTATAAAGTTGCCAGTTAGTTCCAAAAAATTACTAATCCAGTAAATAATTACTTGTAGTTCCACTGTGTCAGAGCTTTTTATCAATGTTATGTTATGACAGCATTGTCCACTAGAATTAAGATATTCTCCAGTTCTTATTAAAGAGGAAATTGTTTATACTTGAAGTTTATTTCGACATTTTGTTTTTGTATATTTTTGTATGGAGAAGATACTTTCAACATTGTCTGAAGAATGTGTAATCGACAACAATCTTTGATCGATGTTGTATGTGTTTGAAAATAGTGGCTCATTTAAAAAATTTTTCGTGATTCTTGTTTTTCCCCAAAACTTACAAATATTGAGGTTAACAAAACTATTTAAGTCAAGGTGTTCAGCCTTAAGTTCTGTGTTACTGTTTTCTATTCTAGCAATTTCACACTTCTGAAACAACAAGGGTATTAGTGGAACAATGATTTGCATATTGCCTGATAATACAGAGGAAGGGTTCAGCTTTGAAGCCCATATTAGAGCTTCGTCATTAAAATTCTTCATAGTACGACAAAAAGTTTAAACAAAATTGTTTTTCGTTTTTTCTAAGATTTAGAATATCATCCCACTTTAGTTTTTCTTGGTTTTGGCAAATGAACAATTCTGCTTCTGCTACACAAAACGTCCCGTATATCAATTTCATGTGATTCTAAATTTATCGCCTCAGAAATTTATCAGAACAGTGCCGAATCAAGTGCTGCTACAGAGGAAATTGTACTAAAAAGTTCTGGGTAGTAGGAAAGTAGAAAGCACTTGAAATCGAAAAAGTACAATTGTATCGAAATTATCAACACTGATGTGTACCTACATAAATGCTTTTATTAAGGCCAGCATTAATAATATTTGCCAACTGAAATGGTTTAACTTTGGGTAGAAATTTGGGTTCTTATTACCAATGCCTATTAAGCGTTTTTTCTATAGTAGAAATAGGAATCAGGTGTCTAATGGCAGTATTTACCATTTATTTTCTTGCTAAATTTGTTTTGGTATTTAACCGACTTCAAACAAGATGGAGGTAATCAATTCCTCGGAATATTTTTTATTTTTTATTTTTATGTATCTAACCGCATAACTTTGGACCACGTTAACCGATTTCTATAATTCTAATATGGATAAGATCCGTTCATTGGATCATAAAGAAATTAACGCTACTCCTAAATTTTTTATATGAGAATTGAAATAGGTTTTGTTTTTTTTGCTTAAAAATTACTTATTCGATTTTTGATTTGTTCTGGCAATTTTTCAACAGTTATTAAAGTCATCAGTGTATCGTTACTTTAGTATATGTAGAAAGGCCCTCTATCTAAAGTATTTTGTTCTTTACATAATTTTTACAAATCTTATGAAATTAAAGCTTTTGATAAACACTGAAAAAAATTTGTTTGATATACATATTATTTGTTTTTAGATCCGACTAAGCCTTTAGTGAGCATTCTACCGACCATTTGCCAAAGCTGAATTTCGAAAGAAATGAGTTAGATTCTTCTATATTAAAATAACGTGTCCTAGACAGTCCTCCCACCACCAATGGATGGAAATGTTTTTTTTTTTTTAGTGGAAAACACAAAAAAAAACAAGTTGGGGATGCTCAATCTTTTGGTCGTATTACCGACTTCGGGTTTCGCCCGGATGTGGGCTAAACTGACCGGTAGTATCTTTTTTTCTAGGACCAACATTATTTTTGTCGAAACCTTTTGTGAGATCCATCACAATTGAATCGAAAAATTGTGCTGGACAACTACCGATATCTGCAAGAGATCGTTAAGCAGAACAGTCTACATCGCATTTGGCTTCCCGGTCATAGGACAATAAAAGGTAACTGTATGGCGGATGAACTTGCGAGCCATGCGCTTCGCCACGTGCAAGCGGCTTTTAAGAGAATTTATCTATACTCACGCGAGCGAGAGATGGATGCATCGTAGTTGTCGAGTTTAGAAGCAAACTTGGCCTAGGTGGTATCGAAAAAAGTCTCGAAGCTTATATCCTCTAAAGAGGGAGGATATATCTCACACAATTGATGCTATAACAGGCCACTGCCTTATAGGTAAACACGCAGAACGGCTCGGAGTGCCTTACCTTAGATGTTGCAGAAGTCTCCACCTTCCCAGTAACTGTCCGACATTATCAAGGAGCAGATTGCGATTTCTGGGGTCTCCATTCTTTAGTGACGTTTACAAAATGGGAGATTTAAACTCCAAGTGCCTGACGAGTCTCGACAAGAATTCAATATGGTGCAGGAAGGGGAGAGTGTAAACTCTTAGTTGTGGTATCACAACCAGCCTTCAATTCGTGGTCTTTGTGTGTCCCTGCATAGCAATGGTATCCACAATGTTATGCACAGTCCCGAACTAAATTAAAGTAATTCAAAATTCAAATACAGATTTTTTGTGTTTTTTTCGTCAATCATTGCATTGTTAGGTTTGAATATACATATGTATGTATGTATATGCAGCTCTCAGCTGATTTCCTTGTCAAAAAGGATTATATAGACACATTATCTCTCTCTCTCTCTCCCTCTCTACACAATCGAAATTGTATGGGTGGATTTGGAGAAGCAGAAGAGTACATAACTTATTTACTTAACAAGCAAACGTTCAGCATTTCCAGCGTCCTCCGTTAGTTATCCTCGTTGTTGCTACACATCATTCCATGTTTGCTGCTGTTGTTATCCCTAACCATGGACAACAAAATCTGATACACGAATTCACGAAGCGGACGATAAGACAATATGAAAAAGCGCGGCATACCAAAGTGGAACAGAGCAAATAAAAAGCGGCGTGCAATGATAAGAACAAGGAATACACCGACGATTTATGCATTGCCGCTAGGACGCCAAACAGTGGCGGGCGCCCAAAGTGGTGAGCATGCGCGCTGCGGCCGGCATATAAACATGGCTGCCAACATGAATAACTGTGAAAAGTGCTGCTAAAACACCACACCAAAAGGCAACTGGCAAAAAAAGTAGCGGCAAACGGCACATGGCCTAGGCCATGGCGGCCAAGTTGAACCGGTGCTCAGTTGCAGTTGATAGCTCGAAGGACGCGCACGGTTTAGCGGAAGATGGAAATTGCAGTGCAAGTGCAAGCTGATTGAAGAGGTAAATAGTGAGTTAGTTGGAAGTGGAGCTAGCAAAAGAGAACCTACTGGAGAGTTTTTGGTGTTGTACAAGTAGAGGAGGTGTGGACCACCCCACAATCGGTTTTTGAGTGTGGTTGCACTAGTGAGAGCGCGAACGCCAACAACAACGACGACAACGCTTGCAAGTGCTGATAAAGTGAAGAGAGCGCGCCCTTTTTTGTGAGTAAGTGCATTGCATCGTGGTGTTGCAATAGACAGTGGTGGTATTGGATTGTTTAGTGTCCGTGTTGCTGACGCCGCTGATGGTGACGGTGTTGGATGTCGATGTTTAATGTCGGTTGAGAAGCAGGCGACTTCGTAAATGTCAAGTGTAATGCCACAATTGCAAATGCCTGCGCCTATAAACCAACAACAATAACATACAAACAACATAACAAAACGTGCGGCACAAACATTGGCAAGTGAGTGTGAGTGCGGAGCGGGTGATCAACGAGCGAGCTAGCGAGTGAGCGAATGGACGCGCGGTAAACGGAAACGGAAAGAGCCGAGGCACTAGTGAAAATACATACATACATACATAAGTGCATAAGTAAAAGAGAACGTGTGCTAAAAACGCAACGCACGGCTTTCGCAAAGCATCCGCCGTCGAGAACACTGCTGCTGTGCAGCATCCTGCTGATTGTTGAGTGTGCAAGAACAGAAAAAAAAAACAAGCAATCGAATTGAAATGCGAATGGTAATTATAATTTGACGCAAATTTAAAGGAACCAAATGATTTAATCAGTGCGCCGTTGACAAGCGAAGCGGAAAGTTCAAGTCGGCAAAAATCGGTAAATTCGCTCGGGGTGTTTTTATTAAGAAATGCAAAATAAAAAAAAACCGTATAATTTGTGTAATGAGAAATGAAAGAAATTAAACATTTTAAATTTGATAAAAAAGATTTAACGCGAAAAAAGTTGAAAATTTTTTAAATACATTCCTTTGCAAGTATGAATGAAGCAGTATGGGTGCAAAGCAGTTAATCTAAAGTGTCAAAAAAGCAATTGAGTATCATAAAAAAATTATGTACATATGTAGGTACATATTAAAAAATCAAAATAAAAATAATCAAAACAAGTAAACAAAAGCTATAAAAGTAGTGGTGAGTTCCACGAGTTTTCTCCAAAAAGCTGGTGCTCCAGACACCTCAAAAAAAGATTTCTTAAAAAATATCAAAAAATTCATAAAACAAAATCTACGAAAAATTAGTAATAGTTTAATCCAAAAGTAGTTGAAAACGCCATAAAGAAAGTGTGATTTGCAATATGCTAAATCAAAACTAAAAATATTTATTCAAAATATAATTAAAGAAAATTACAAAAATAGCATTAGTCTTTAAGTCTAAGTGTATAAGAAGATTGAAGAAAAAATCAAAACAATTTTAAAAATTAAAAAGTGTAGAAAGATTTACAAAAATTAAAGTAGTATTGAAGGAAAATAACCAAAAAATCAATACAATTTAAACGCATAGAAATGCAATAAAAAAATCTTGAATCAAAAGAATATAATAAGGAACCAACAATTATCAATTCCGTAAGCGAAAACCGGAAAGTGCATCAGAAAGAAAACAAAAAATAAAAAAAATTGCAGCAAGTAGACGCTTATCAAAGCTAATTGATTGAGAGAAAAATCTGATACCAAACAATAAAACAGCGCCCACAACAGCAACAAAAACTCATAGTTAAGTCTAAGAAACGCAAGGCAGCCAAAACAAAAGTCATGCGGATTAGTTATCATATTCTGGTGCTTCTGCTGCTATCACACCTCGGTGAGTTTTTGTTTTCATAACTAACAATGTACCTACATACGTAACAAAGAATGTATGTATGTATGTATGTATAAATCTCCCACCGCCCCCTCATCTACACTCTTGTGTTTAGCTAAGAGAAAATCTTTTGGCATTCTATTTCTCAACGCATTTTTGTTCCTATACATATTTTCTCGTCTCGTCTGCTAGCAAGCGCCATGAGTGACGTCGAGGATTTGTATGCATTCGTGTGGAAAAAGAAATTTCCAAAGTTGTTTGCATGCAATAACATGTGCTGATATTTAGATATTTACATACATACTTACATATGTATGTACATATGTAGATCCTTAAATATTCGTTTGCCGCTATTTTCGACTTAAAGACTCAAATTTTGATTTTATGGATTTACATAAATAGTTTAAAAGATTTGGTTTGTCAGGAATAATTCAGAAAATGTTTCAAGGTGTATTAGCTTAAAAAAGGTGTATAAGCTTAGAAGTCGTTAAGTTTCATATTTTAATGTTTAGTTTCCAAAAACAATAAAAATTTCAAATACATAGATGTAGACTAATAGGTTTATTTGGTAATGGAACTGTTTTTTGGTATAGAGATGCAAGTTCCGCGAGCTAAAGTGTAGCCGCACTGTAGCGATTCTAGGTTTGGTTAGAACGAACCACGTAACCGTTTGCATAGGATAACTATTTAGACTATGAAAAGTCACCTTTAATGAAAACGCAGCTGATTTTTTTTCGCTTTTTTGTCTATCCGGATTTAAGTACAGACTTGAAACTTTAAGTGTAACTCAGCACTCGAAGGCAATGCAATGTGTCAAATATTTGCTGTTTGTTTCAGTTTTCGTTTAGATAATAGAAGATATTTCAGAGAGATTAAAGTTTCACGCTTATTGCATATACAAGCCGTGGGATTCAATATCCACATCACTCCTAATGCGCCTAAATATATGCAACAAAAATTTTATTTGAAGTACTCTAATGATTAGACTGCGGATTTTAATTTAAAATAAGGAGCCTAGAAATTTGTTCCACATAACCATAAGCAAGGTGTATTCATTTTTATACATAGGTTTATAGTTAAGTATTTAGTACATATTTTTAGGCTCCCTTTTCTGCACAAAAATCCGCAGTCTACTAATGATGCTCATATTTTTTGTGAATTAGTTAAGAAAATGCGTATGTAAAAAAGGTGACTTAGACCCCCTGCATATATGTCGTCTCGTCCTCGTCACATCATTAGAAAAATTGTCGCCTTCAGCTCGTAATTTATTTTCGCTTTTGTGTTGATAAATTGTATTGAAAAGCAAGCGGCTTAGCAGTCAGGTATGAAAGGCGCCGCACATAGAAAGCTAGGATGTTTGCTAAATCCTCGTCTCCGCTGTAAGATGGTGATGACATCGCACTTGAAAATTTTATGCGACGAGCGATCATGACGACAAGTGTGCAGGTGTCTTGCTCGTCATGTACTCGTTTTGTCAGTGAATTTTTCTACAATATTTATTTTTAATAAAACTATATTTCATTCTAAATATAATTAAAAACAAACATCAAGGTTTCAAACTTGGTACAGAATTCGCAATTTTTTTTTTTTGAAATCTCAAACTTTTGAATTTGAGTTTTTAGAAAACATCTGGGTTTTATAGCTCATTGAATTTTGATTTAATAAAGTGGATATTTTAAATGGCCAAGGATTACCGTTGTTGTTTGAAATTTCTTTTCGTCAAGGGCATTGCGCATTGTCTTCCAAGAAAATGTTTCGTTCAAGCGTAAAGCACGAAATTATTCCCGTCCTTGTAAAAGAGGACATTTTCATAACTTTTTGAAGAAATATAGTTTCTTATCCATGGGTAATAGTTACGGCAGAATTAAAAAATATGTCTTTCGAAAAATTATTTAAAAAATTCAGTGCAATGTAGTATAAAGATAAGCGTATCAAATATAAGAAAAAAATGTGTAGAATTGTAACAGAATCAATTTTTGGTACATAAGGAAAGGTATAGAAAATGTCCTTTAAAAATTTTGTCCTTTAATCCTTGAAAATTTGCAACATTTATTTTTGAAATAATTATTGTTTGAGGTCTGATATACATACGACCACATCAACGAATTTCGTCCTGCAAACTTTATTAACTTGAAAGATAAAATTTATTAAAAGCGCATTTTCAATACTTATTCGTCCTTGTAAACCAAAAAAACTTTATTGTTTTTAAATTCTAAAGAGTGAATTTTCTCTCTCATTTGGTGCCCATATTGTTTTTTCTACAATGCACTTATTTTTTAAATAACTTTTTGAATTAATCATATCTTTAAAATTTCAAAGTCCTGAAAAATTCTGACGTCAGTGTGAAAAACTAAAAACGCAGCTCTACTATATTTGGCCCATAGTTTCGTGAGTATATCGATTCTTTCGTGCGTTCTGAAATTTTTTTGTCTTTGCGACACAGTGTTATTCACAGTTTTGAAATATATTTCATGAAAGCAAAAAATAAAAATAGTTGACATCACTTTCTTTTTTAAACACCTAGGATATCAGTAACCATTATAAGGGACCCTGAATGACGGCAAAGCTCAAAGCTCTACATATTTGTTGATGTGATTTTTTTTAATCTTCAACTAAACACTGAAGTATATTTACGAATATCAAGTTTTATTAAATATGTGCTTAAATTTAATTTCTTAATTAAGTATTTCTTTACTGCATTCACCTGAACTTCGGGGGTTACTACTAGTTTTAATAAACTGTCAGTTTAATTTCTTATAAAATTTACCTTTAAGTTTTTGCATCTTAAGCATACATCGAAAATATGTTTTAGAGTGTCAATGTGAAATAATTGCAGAAACGATTAACCGATTTGCTGAGCAACCGAGACGTCTGCTTTTTAAATAATTTTTGTAAAACAAATCGGCAAGTACATATCGTTCCCCGCATGCCAGAAACATGAGTGTGTAAAAATTAAAATTTTTGGAAATCAAGTTTGATTTTTTTTTTTACGAGACCTAACTCTGCATTCATGTAATTGACTTTGCAAAATATGTGCTTTCCATGTACGCATGGTATTCTGGCTTTTGGTATAACATAGAACATCCAAAGGTTAATAAAGTCAACCCAATAACTCAAAATTAGCAAATTTGCACATTCATGCTTCTGGCATAAGGGTGACGATATGTATTTACTTCACATTTATTAATTTTTTATACGCCTGTCCTTCATATGTATCTTCGTAGTAAGAAAATAGTAGTCGTATTTTGACACTTGAGTGGAAGATCGACCCATCTCGGCAGCCAGTTCGAAAACGCCCTATATCAGAAAACTTTTCAAGAACGCCCTACTTCAGAATTTTAATGAGGAATGTCCTATTTCGGATTTTATTTGAAAAACGCCCTATCGGATTCTGAGATAGGGCGTTCTAGAAAAGTTTTCTGAAATAGGGCGTTTTTGAACTGGTTGCCGAGATAGGTCGATCTTCCTCTCAGGTGTCGATTTCCTGTTAATATTCCTCTATTTGCATGAAAACAAGTAAAAAAATGTAAGTTTAGTACTCCACTCTACTCACTAAACAAAATTTATATCATGGTATTTACAGATTTCATATCGTTATCTGTAGACTTATTGTCGGTATATTTTATTTTTGGAGGAAACCACAACTACTAAAGCTCGAACTGTGCATTTTTAAAAATGTTTTTAAAAAAATAATTTTGGTCGACCTAACACACTCTACGCTGTCCACAATATTTTTTCGCGGACCTTAATGCTAAATAATGCTACCCCCATTGGGTTTTGAAGTTTTCCTTATATTTAAAATCGTTAACTTTTAAATTTTACTAACTACGTTTAAAGTTAAATAACTTCAGTGCACAAGTACCTCGGGCACCGCGTTACCCAAACACCTATCAGCCTGCAAGTGCCAAGTTAAAATAGTATGCGATGGTGATCACACTGCTAGTACATTGGGAGTCCAAAAATATGCACTCCTGCTGTTCTCTGTTATGTACATATGTATGTAATACATGCATACATACCAACGTAAGTAATAGAAAAATTTAATAATTTAAATTCAATTTTAATATCCACTTATCTACCACTGCCACCAACCTCATCAACCCACCCCCTACAAACCGCAATCGAGAAATGTGCAAAATATAAATTAATGGACACTTTATCGCATCTAAACGGTACCGCAATTTGATTGTGACAAATTCTTCTATAAGCATATATGCGCATGCAAACTCTTACACATACTCACACGCTCCCACACAAATGCATAGTGAAAATACGTACATATATTTATGTAGTTATATCACACAATCGTAGTCTAACAATTTTCTTTTATAGTTTTCGTTTGCATATAAATTGCTGGTAATAATGCGAAATTATTTCACATGTTGCCCTTCCTTCACGCCAGCGTACACGCAATCACTTTATTGGCGTGTTGTAGAACAAAACGATTTGCACTATTATCCACCCCTCAGCCAAGAAGTGGTTAGGTGAGGGTTGTGTTGAATGGTACAAAATGCGAACAACAAAAATAACCCATATCTACATTCGGAATAATAATTTAGCATAAAAAGATGATTCATTTGCATATTTGGTGCGAATGAAAATGCAAATATAGGAAGGGATTGCAAAAAAGAAAGTGCCATCTGAAATAGAGAGAGAGAGAGAAAAGGAAAGGACGATCATGTGCGAGAATGATTCAAAGCGCCGCTGCCGGAGGAGTTCTATGTATTTAACAGCATGCGAAGTGTGAATGATAAGATGGTAAAAATGTGGGAGAAAAATAATTTCTCCAAAGTTGTGAGGTAAAAATTGAATGAAAAACTTAAATGCAAGAATTAATTTATTCAGTGCTCGTACTCACATATGTATGTTTGTGCGTATATTTCATACAAATTTTTTACGATTTTGTGAAATCTTTAAGACCTTCGACGCTTAGGCTGGTTTTCTTTGCTTTGGTAATTTCTAACTCCTGAATTTTTATTCGAAACTAAAATATGTACAAGAAA